AAAGATGACAGGTTCTAGTCATTGCCTAGAGATCTTAAGCGATTTATGAAACTCTTCTTTCTGCTTCTTAAACACCCTGGTGAAGGAGTTAATGTTGTTACTTTTGTTTTTATTTAGCTAGGCGAAGATTGTTAACATTCTGAGCTGAGTTAGCATCTCTTTGCAAGGGGAGCTGACAAGGTGTGAAGTTTTTTTTTTTGCTCACTTGTCCTTGAGCTGCAATATTTGTAACACAGTTTGTGTTTGTGGTGGTGTTGGTTGTGGTTCTGGCCCAGACCGTCTCTGTGACTAAATATGCAGGTGTCTACGTGTTTTACTGAACCCGAGAGAGATGGGCCATTGCAGTTTCTAGTTGTCATCATAAAGACTAGCACAGGGTGGTTGTCACTTAATTTTTTTTAATGCACCAAACCTCAGGTTTAAGAGTTACAGAGCAGATGGCAGTTTGCTATCAGTGCTGTTCTGTCATATCTTTTGCCTCCAAAGCTTAGCTTTCGCCTAAAGCAGGTGTTGTCCTTTTCCACCTAATAAAACCCCAGGCAAAGGAAGATCATGTGAAACAAGCCCAGCAGCGTATAACAGATTATAAGTACGAGACTGACTTTGATTGTAAGTGAAGTGGTTAAAAACTAGGCTTGTCATTGCTATAGCCATGAGTTTGTGCTGTATGTAACCTTTCAAACGTACGTATTTTCACACAAAAAAATATCCTCCCGGCTGTAATGATTCTCTGTTATTTTGGTGTCCAGTGCTTGTGAATGAATTACAAATAGGGGTGTATAGAAAATAATAGCGAAATATCAGGAATTGACCGAGCGGATTAGTCAATAAGTAAAATAATCTTAACCGCCATGTTTTAAGGATTTCTCTACTAAGTTCGTGACAAATTCTTTCTCAATTCATTCTTTTGTGAAAAGTGGTAATTCAGACACACTTGGTTAAACAAATATTTATTAACAATGGCAGTAAGACACACTACACCCAACGTAAACATGCAGCATGCAAGTTACTGTGTTTCAGAGACTTACGTCTAGACCACCATGGAAAACCCCAGATTGCTACCAAGTATTTGACTCTTAAATAATGCCTACGAGGGCCGAAAGAAGGGATGAGCTGCCTTCTAAACTCAATAGAATACAGCCTATGGTTAAAATTCTCGAACCTGGATGTCACAAAATAAATGGGAGCCCTTTTCCCTTTTCTGAGATGCAGTCACTAAGAAGGAGAGGCACAGGGTTATTGTGATGTGCAAATGCAGTTCGTAAAGAATGAGAATTCTTTGATGAGGGGAGCATCAAAAGCTGCAGCATTGCTGTGAAAATGTGTGTTGGGGGACAAGTTGACGTCTAGCTCCCCGACACCTGCCAGAAGTGAGGTTCAGTAACAGCCCTGATTTTGGATGATTACCGAGAAGCCACAGTGGCCACAGTTACTTTTCTTTTCTTGGGATCTCGAAGAAAGTAAATGCTTTTGCAACGCTACGCGTGTGAAGTGTGTCATCCAGATATCTCTCAGTGCAGCTGATGCCCTAGTGCTTTATAGGTGATGAAATGGAGGGATTCTCCAAGGGTTTGAAATATACATGACACTGAAAGAAAAAGTTCCTTGCCAAGTGGCTCTGCGGACTGAATTGAGGTGACAGGAAAGGCGGAGCTATATTGTTATAACGTTTTGACGGAGCCGAACAACCCCACCAGGCCTGGATTTAATGAAACCTGAAAAAAGGGTGTGAGTGACTCAGAAAGTGGAGCTCAGGTTGGGCGTTTCCAGAATGAATGGGCTCATAAATGCCGTGAGGATCATCACGCATGAGCTTGCTTCTGAAAAATCTCGCAGGCGTCTCTTGGTAGGATTCATTCAGAAAGCCAACGGCGAAAAGACAAGTCTTGTTAGAAGAAAAGGGCAGTGGTAAAATAATTCAAAATTGCAGCAAGGTGAAAGATCCCCATCAGCTTTTGAGTGCCTGAGATGTTTCCACTGGGACCAGTGTCCCGTTTTTTTAATGGAATTCCTTTGATTTTTAAAAATGTATTTTTTGGCATCTAAAATGGAATATTGTGCAAACTGTGATTGAAAGCTTGTTAGACTTGAAAACTTCAAAAGGATTTTAAAGTTTTCAAAAGAGTGCTTTGGGATACATGCCCATGTGGTATGAGTGATAAAAAAAAATTTCAGGGTGCTTGATGGCAGTGATTTGATTTTAAGTATTTTCGTTCTATTTCCAAGGCGCGCGGGTTGTTTTGAGACCTGTTGGCTGACAGTGTTAGGAGCAGGCTTGTTTTCTGCATGCTGTGCTTTATAACGTCTGACTGTCTGCTACCCAGCTGAGTGGGAGGTCGAATGTACAATCGTACGTGAAGTCTAAATTGATCAACAGAGACCTGTTTATAAACGTGCTTGAGAAGAACATGATTAACTGATGTGTGGGGCTCTGATTATGAGCATGCTACAGAGTAGAAAGCTTGGGAAAAAATCAGCTGCAGGGCATGTAAGAGTCTCCTTTTCCACAAAACTACCTGGAGCAAATCATAAAACAGATCTTTATTAAAGACCGTCATTACATATTCAAAGTGTGCTGTTCCAGATGATTCCCCCAAGAGGACAACAGCCCTGTGTTTTGAAACATTTAAACACAACGTGCCTTAAAACGTGCCAACGTTCTGTTTCAAAACTCAGAATGTAAGTGTGTTTATAGAGGTAGAAGTGATTTAGTGTTCTTTTCCAAAACTCATACAAGTCTTTCCGTGTTCTTTCTTCAGTCCTTTGTTGAGATACAAGTCTGTGCTGTAGTTTTAAAACAAAATCTTCCTTTTTGTTTTCGCCAGGTTCCAAAAGCTTGTGAAAACTTCATCAAACTCTGCCAGAAAGGATACTATGACGGGACCGTTTTTCACCGGTCGATCCGAAATTTTATGGTATGGTTGCATTAAAAACTTAACGACCCATTTGAAATACAGTGTAATAATCCAGCACCCTGGTTATAAGCTTTATTTTCAAGTAGAACTGAAAACAATAATTGATGTATATAATGTTGTATGTGTGATTGTAGAACACAATATCCGGTCATATTGCTAAAGCTGATACTCTGCTTTTGTTCAGTAAATGGCTGGGTGTGATGAATCGCCTACTAGCAACCAAAAGTAGCTAAACGGGCTGTGTGGCCACCTTTTTTTTTTGTTTCTAAACAGCCAACTGCTTCCTTTGTGTTTCTCATTGGGTGACCACATCTGCGTGGGTAATTTACGAAAGTGTGATTGTACCCCTGCAAGGTACAACTGTGCCGTGCACCTCCCTCTATTGTCAGCTCGCCTTTGCGAGGAAGTGGGGTAAATAGATTTGCAAATGTGATATTGATCTGTGAAATGAAGGACAGGCCCTCTTTCATTCTTTCAGCCAGCTGCTCTCGCAAAAGTTAATTTGCCTAAGTGTGGCCCTGACAATAAGCTTTGCATTATTCATGCAATTAGCTTTGTGTTTTTCTCACAAGTCTTCCCCGAATAGTTCCATTGTCCTGTGGTCAAACTGGGAGGAACTGTCACTGTTACTACAGAAGAGGGCACGAAAGTATAGGTGACCAGAACTCCTACCACCACAAGACCCTGCCGAGCCCAGAGAAGAGCCCCCTCAGCCACCTGATCCTAAAATCAGAGGACGGAGCTTCTCAATAGAATGTTTTTCTTTGTAAACGTCCAGCAATATATTTTTGTTGTAAATATCTGTGTTTTGCTAATTGTTAGCGCTTTGGTGATGCTATAATTCGTCAATCTGGCCGATAAAGTTCTTTGAATTTGAACTGTCTTCACACCTGCAGGGGTTTTTCTGAAAGTTATAAAAGCCAAGTCAATTTTGTTGATCCAGATCTGAACAAGGTGATGTTTTATTTTGGGAGGATGGGGGATCTCAGATTTTGTTGTGCCGGAAGCCTCTTCACGATGCAGGGAGAAGGGGAAACGCCGAACATTCAAGTTCATTAGAAAACCCCTCCCTTATCAAGGAGAATATTTTCCTGGATGTGGTGTTTGAGGCTGACGCTTTGTATCTGGGCTCTGTGCTGTGGAGCTCGGCAGGAGATCACCATCTGTCCGTCTCAGGTCAGTGATCAGTTGGGGAGACTTCACAGGCTCCGTTGCACAACAGACTACCCTCGCGTTGCTGCCAGAAAGCCAAATAGACATGCAGTGCCCTCAGCGTATTGATCTCGCGATCATTGCAATCTGGTGTCAGCTGCACAGCTAGTGTGCTAATCAGCCTATTGGTCGCATTGACTGGCAGCACTGAGAGGTGTGAGGTAGAGAAAAATTGCTGCACGCTGTTTCCCTCTGTTGACATTATTCCAGTGGTTGGCTAGACTTATTGAGCGTCTGAGATGTTTCCACTCTGATCAGTGTCCAGGTTTTTTTATGGAGTTACTTTATTTAAAAAAAAATATCTTTATTGGCATCTAAAGTTGTGTATTTTGCAATAGGCAAAGGCCTTTTAGAGTTTAAAAATATTTAATGGGGAGAGGATTCAGTTAATGATGTGTTCTGAAACAGCGTGTTCCAGATGTGCAGGAGCAATACAACTCATTAAAAATGCTGCGGACTTGACTCAAAGTCTTAAGTCCTGTTTTTAGGGGGCGTGGGGTAATTGGGGGAGGGAAACAGGGTGACAGGTGTAGACTGGCACTAAATTGGTGTAGACTGGCACAATGCATATCAACTCTAGCCCCGAGGGACCATTGTGTTTGCTGGTTTTCATCCGAAGTGCGCTCTTAATCAGTGGTGCCAATTAAGTGCCAGTGATTGATTAATTGGTATAATAAAAGAAAACAAACGTTTTTGCTGCATTCAGTCCTTATGTCCAACAACATCAGCACACCGAACTTTCTAACTGAGAATTTGATCCCGTATTTCTGACCAAACAGCTCTTAACAAGTGAAGGATTGTTGATGAACTGACGCAGGTGGGAAGGACTGGATCAGGCAAGGTCCCCTCTGCTCAAGTCCAGTTGATTTCACTTGGCGACAGTCCTGAAACTCAGTGATGAGCACAAGGTTTATACCACCAGTTACGAGTCCTGTTGGGCTTTTTAAGAGCTGAAAGACGATTGCGGAAACACAGCTCTAACCGAAATTGAAATCAAGCGGCCTGTGATTAAGAACTGGGAAGGCTCAGAAACCATTAAAAGAGAGCCGCTACACTAGCGTTCAGTTTGACTGTCAGATGTCCCACTGGTCAAGCAATTAATCACTCACTCCATCGATCGCCGTCGCATTTACTCCATCTCAAGATCTCGTAGTCGATCAGTCTGTGTCTGCGGTAGCGCGATGCTTGCTCTGTTGGGGAGAGAAACCCGAGAGAGAGTCAGACTGTCCTGGACAGTAGCTTCTGTGCGCGGTTGCCTGAACGCTGCAGTCAGAGGACATTTTACTCCTGTGCTATCACGTCTGAATGTTGTTTATCTGAGCTCTCCTGTCTGTTCTTGAGACAAGTCTCAGAAACCCAGTCTCTTCTGCTCTTTCCAACTGGGCTTTCGGTTACTTAAATCGCGTTTGAACTGATATTCCAATGAGAACCTAAAGACAAGTTTTAGATTTTGAGTTATTGGTGGATTTTTGTGAGCAACGTAGACTTCCCCAGCCCTTTTCAGAGCTAAAAAACTGAAAAGGTGAAAATTCCATTTGGCTGTTATTAACTCATTTGTCCAGAGATCTCACCCTGCCATGTCTTGTAGGAGTCTAACTGTCTCTCAGCTTTCACAATATGACTTCGTCTAGACAATCACCCTTCTTTGTAAAGATATGCCTCCTGTTTTTAAAGGGCGCCCCCTTAATTTTCAGTCGAGTCCTCTGCGTCCTGCTTGACTGCTGATCCTGAAAAAGTCCTTTGGGATGACTTCGTCAATGCTGTTGAGGGGTTATTTTTAACCGATTTCCGTAGTGTGAAATGTATCTTTTATTGATATTTTCTTTGTGTTCCAGATTCAAGGTGGGGATCCCACTGGAACTGGCACAGGTAATGATTTTGGGACGTTTGCTCCTATATTTTTTCATTGCATGATTTCAGTGTAATGCAGAAGTGTGCCGTCACTTCCTGTGAATGGAAAAAAGTAGGCTTTTTTAATCTACTGATTTTTCAAAGGTTCTTTATTCTAAGAACAACACTTGAGCAGCTTGGGCAGATAATCAAATATTTCTAGGTGAGTGAGCACTGTCCTCCAAACATAGGTACCCTGAAGAGGCTCGGCACTCGTCTTCCCATTAATAACTAATAACTTAATTTGCGTTCCTCACATTTTCCGTACAGTGATGTGTCTGTGGTCAGTGTCTTGACACCTTGGGGGTTTTACTGGCTCACCGCAAGGTTCTGAAATGAAAAAATCCATACTCTATCTTCCACCGTGCCCTTCCTGACAGCAAACGGATTTAGTTGTCCGCTTTAGTCTGTGCAATCAGGGATCTAGGAACAAAATCTTGGACAGCTGGATCCGTTCTGACTGCCCCTAATTAATCCAAACCTGCAGAAGAAATGAAGGTGTATCCGGTTTTTCACCTTGAGCCCATACCATACTGTACACAGAGCAGGATTTGAGCTAACAGGTGGTCGTTTTAAGCCATTCCCAGCCGCAGATCACCTGCAAGTGCAGGCGTGCGATCGTATTGAAAATCCAAGGAATCGTTAGGACGATTTCTTGTAGTTGCCTGTGGATGTGATAGAGTTTCCCAGGAGTGGAAGAGGAGAGCAATGAACGTGATGGTGTTGTGAATTGTTTCTAATATGCATTTCTGTTGGCTTGTGTAATCAGGTAAAAAAAAGTCATGCTTAGTTTGAGAACATCTGAAGTCTTTTTTTTTTAACACTGAAAGTACAAAGTCTAACACAGGGTGGTCAGAAAGGATTTTGGATAGGTAGCGACAGTGTTTATGCCACTAAGATGGACGTAATGATAACAAAGTTGTGGTGTGTAGATTCTCATTTTAATAGGTTGGTTGGTTCCACGACAGGCATGCTTTTCTAGTGGAAAATTTCATTTTTGTTCCTTTTGATTCCTCCGAAAAAATGTTTTTCTTCGTGTTGGTTATCTTTTTGGAAAAATAAATATATAGATATATGGGCCTTTTTATTGTCAGATTGTTGGATTCTGGGTCCTTTTCCAGTCTCTATATTTGTGCCTGACTTTCCATCTGGCCCTGATTAAACCACTCAGCTGTGTTACAGCCAGTTTGTCATTTACAGTGCTATGGAAGAGTCTGACTGCAGTACCTTGCAAAAGTATTCACCTCTGCTTTCATTTCTTTCAACTCCAAATGCTGCAAACGCATTCAAACATTAAAGGGAAAATATTCTTTAAAATGTGAATGGTCAAACTGAACCCTTATATGGTTGGAGGAAGCTAGGGGTCTGCAGAAATGGCAAAGGAAAATAAAAAAAAAAAGGAAATTGTTTTAAGGGCAGCAGTGTGGAGCAGTGGTCAGGGTTCTGGGCTCGTAACTGGAAGGTTGTGGGTTTGAATCCCAGGTGAGACTGCATTGAGCAAGATGTACAATGTACAAGATGGATTGCTCCAGTAAAATACCGAGTTATATAACCGGGGGCAATTGTGTGATGCTTTTGATAAATATACAATGTATACAGAGGCAGGCAAAAAATAGTCCCCGTACCGTGAATAATCCATAACACAGATGCTTTACACAGCTGGAGGGCGGATGGTGTTTTAAGGCAAGTGGAACTGTAAAGATCAGTAGCTATAGTGGTTTAATATCCTCTGTCTAGATAGGTGGGAATCTAGCAAGAAAGTCACACCTGCTGCATGGTGCTGTTCTTGAAAACACACATTTTCAGCATAGGATTCAATAACTAAGTCTAATATATGTTTCCTGTGCACAACACATAATAAAGGCAAACTCTGAGTCTTGGTTACCTCCAGTTTATAAAAGGATGAGCTTTTCACATCTAATGTGTAGGCATTGAGAAGTACATTTTACATTTAAGGTAATTAAACATATACATAAAACAGAATACATTTCCATTGTGTGTATGGTGATTCTTTGATGTTAGCATTTTATGTTCCCAGCACAGCATTTTATTAAACTCACATTCATGGTTCATTTTTAAAAGGCCAAAGGCACTCCTCTGCTCCTCTCTTCCTTTTGCCTCATAGATGTGTTTTTTGGACAAGCACTGTATTTCTTCTTTTTAACTGGCAACTTATCAGCTGAAACTCGGATTTCAGGAGCAGTTCAAACCCTTGAAACCACCCCTGTTATACAGTCACAGCTGATGGGCTTAGGGAAGAGAAGGAGACACCTGCATCTGTTCAAAATATTTTCTGCACAAGTTTATGCAGTGGAACAGGAGTATTTGCAGGCCCAGGTGGTTCCCAGTGTCAGTGATGCACTGTAGCGAAGTCCCGTTCAGACCTGAATTTATTGCTAACAGGCATGGAGAGCTGGGAAGGGACGCAGAGTGTCTTTTTATTGCATTGTTGCTGAAATATACAAATGTGCAAACAACAAAGCAAGAATTTGCTCAGAGATTGTTTCTGGAGATGCGACTCTAGGACTTGAGTGTTTCTGATTTTGATCTGAAAGCAAATGGCTTTTTAAAAAAAATAAATGTTATGCAATGTGGTTTTGTGGTATAGGTCGGAGGATTTCGTTGGACTGTAATCAGGCTAAGAATGGTGATGGAGGAGATGTGCCGGAAGCATGCCCTTCCTCCCTCTTTTTTTGTGTCTCCTGTTCTCTTATGTCCTTTATTTCCTCCTCCCCATCCATCTCTCTGCTCTTCCCCCAGCTGCTGTCAGCTCAGCTCAGTGCACCTTCACGCTGACAGGACAGCACTGAGGCAGGAAGGGGCTGAATGGGCGTAGGGAGTGTGCTGTGTTCCAGCCAATCACAAGCCCTGCATTTCCTCGGGTGAGGGAGGGGGTGTTGCCGGGGTGATGTTGATGCAGAATTGGGGAAAAAAACAAGAGTTGACTGCAATCTGCAGTGTCCAGTCTAGAGAATCCTCCCTGAGCTGCGTGTCAGAGCTTGGCAAACATCAGTGCATCGCTCAGAAGGAGAACCGCAGTCCCTGCTGACACACGGGCCTGCAGAGAGCCCTCCATTCTCTCGCTGGTATGGACTGCATCGTAACCTTCGCTCATTTGTTTTTACCTCTGGCCATCGCTCAGCTTGAAGCTCAGGTGGGTGAGAAGTAGGGCAGCTGAGATGGAGGAAAAGCATTGAGCAGGTCACGAACAGAACTTGATTTGAGGGTTATTCACATTTTAAGACCTCTTTTGCAATTGTGGGTTCTTCCAAAGAATATGCTTCCAGTTCACAAAGCTGATGACGTGTGCTAACTAGTTCCCATGTGTTGTACAACCTGTGAGACATGCATGCATGGGGTGCATACACAACCACTTTTCAGCAAAGAACAGATGAATGATGCTTCTCCTCCCAAGCAGGGTAATTTATTTTCAGAGCCTAATGCTTCTTCATCCAGGACAATAAAACCAAACGAGTTAATGTGTCCAATTACTTTTGGTCCAATATGGTTCACCCAATATAGACGTAAATTCCCTCGAATTAAAGCTGACATTCTGCACTTTAACCTCATAGTCATTGTTTCGTTTCAAATCCAGTGTGCTGGAGTACAGAGCCAAAACAACACAAATTGTCACTGTCCAAATACTTATGGACGTTATACAGCAGATTTGTGTTAGAAGATACAAATAAATGATGTAGACACCTGGGCGCAGTCATAAGAGGCTTGTTTATTTCTCTGTCTCGGTGCATATTCTTAAAGAATAAGGATCTGTGTCCCCTCTGGGGCAAGCAGACAGACTGGCCTATAATAATCGCGTGCATCTAGGTTAAGTCAACCCGGTCTGAGGGCAGACGGAGACACACGTCACTGAAGTCTTCCAGAGGATCTTCTCCTCATTCCTGTATCATCACCCCTGCTATCTTTGGCTTTCGTTCCTTCTTGTGTTTTGTCTGTCATGGCCGGCCCCTGCTCTCTCTCTCCCCCGCAGTCTACAGGTCCTTCCCTGCTCCTCGCGGTCCGGAGGCGTTCTGCAGGGGAGGTTATTGGGAGCAGGGCCGGCCCTGAACATCGGCCAACTAGGCAGCTGCTCGGGGCCCCGAAGCTGCTTGGGGGTCCCCTCGAGGTGCAACGTTACATCTCTAACCTGCACGCTCAAATGTGAGCGAGACTTCCTGATTGCGGCTCTTTCTGTTGCTGCTGCAGCTCATCCTAAAGGGAGCCTGGTGCAAAAAAAAACCAATTGATCTAGTACGGAAACATGTTTCTGAAGAGCGGGATATGCGATCTCTAAACAGAGGTGCGCTCAGGTCATTGTAATTATGCATGACGATATCATTTCCATTTAATTTCTTTTGAGGCTGTCAGATCCATGTAACTAGCTGACGGTCGACCAGCCATATTTTCAAGCTAGAGACATAGACTGCTTGAGGTGCTTTAGTAGCAAGTTAACCGATTTCACATTTCCCCACAATTGGACACATTCCGTGTGGGTTGCCCGGCTAAAATTTGATGCTGATTGGCCAAGCAAAAGCGTGAAAGCAGCTGTACAGTAGAACAAAAACTGCCCGGCTATTATACATAATTGGCCTTAAAACGTGTCGTTTTCCTTGTGCTCTCTCCTATATTTCATGAACTGGGGGTATTGTGATCCCAGCCTGCAGCCCGTCAGATTGCATCGGCTCTCCCAGTGACAGAGGCAGGAGCAGAGAGGGGCTTTTCAGAGCTCAGGCTGATTAAAACATACCTGAGGTCAGCCATGGCCCATGAGCATCAGTCATGCAGTGGGTGGACTGTTGTACGAAGATGTAATTGATGATTTTGCCTCCCTAAAGTCTCAGCAAATTGATTTCTAGAACTTTTTTATTGCAACTTTCCCATCTGCTCAGCCTCACTGATCTCTTGATGAGTGCACTTATTTTTTTAATTAATTACGTAATTATTTCTACAATTTTCTTTCCACTAAGGTTTCAATGCCGTAA